GGTGCGGAGCCTATGGCACGAGATACGCCCGCAACCTGGCAGGCACGTGCCACGGGGCAACCACAACCACGCTCCAGAGCCAGAGAGCCCGCCTGGCTGACGGCCGGCACCCGGGGCATCGGCAGTGCCGAACGTGGGTGCTCTCCACGCTGCGGGAGCCAACTTCGGCGGACCTCGCCGCGTGCCTGGGGTCAGACTTCGGCCGCGCACCAGTGGCAGGGCCCACGAACGGACCCCAGATGGGGAGGGGGGCGCCCAGGCGCATGCTGACCAGGGTTGAGATCTTGGCAGCATACGACTTGAACGAGGAAGACGTGGAGGCGGCCGTCAATCGCTGCCGCCAGCGGCGGCGCGCCAGAGCCACGGAGGAGGACGATTCCGACATCGAGGAGTAGGTGAGGCTACGCGCGGGGGCTAGCCTCTCAGTGGCTCCGGCAGGGCCCCGAGCCGGCCTTTTTCCTGTAGTTTGTTTCCCTTGCGGATTTCCATTCCATTCCATTCCATTCCATTCCATTCTATTCCATTCCATTCCATTCCATTCCATTCCATTTCATTCCTTGCGGTATTCACAACTGCATACGGTTGGGTCCTTCGCCAGGCTAATTGTTCGTTAGGTGTTGGCCTTATGCCTTCAATGATGATGAAGTTCGTGGCGATGTTTGCAGTGCCACCCCAAGTCGGCGTGTAAGTAGTTTCCTGCCGGTGAAGTTCAATAAAGGCGATATCACGATTGTATGTTCGCCCAGTGCGTGCTGCTTCGTGGTGCTCTTCTACCGGCTCCTGGAGGCCTCTCGGTGATCAGTGTTGGCGTGTTTTGAGGATCAGACCGGGTATCATGGTCATGCGCATGCTGATACTCACACCTCCCCATTATTTTATTCCGCCTCTTTTTCCTCCTCCTCCTCTTCCTCCTTCCTTCACCCTCGTCCCTCTTCCTCCTCCTCCGCATCCTCACTCTTTTTCCCTCCTCCCTCTTTTTTCCATCCTCCCTCTTGCTCCTCCTCCTCCGCCTCCTCCTCCGCCTCGTCCTCCTCCCTCCTGCCCAATTTCCCAGTCCCCTCAGGAGGCGGACGTGCGGCCCAGGGTCCACGCGGACGAGCCCCCCAGCGCCGCCGAGCGGCGCTTCGCCGACGGGGGCGGCGCGGAATCGCGGCGGCGCGGCGGGTGGGGCGACGAGGCCCTGCCCCGGGGGCCGACATGTTGCGGGGGGCCGAGGATCGAAGGAGAGGAGGAGGAGGAACAGGAGGAGGAGGATCGGGAGGAGGAGGAGGGGGAGGAGGAGGAAAAGGAGGAGGAGGAGGAGGAGTCAGGAGGAGGAGGGGGAGGAGGAGTATGAGGAGGATGATGATGATGATGATGATGATGATGATGATGATGATGAGGAGGAGGAGGAGGAGGACGAGGAGGAGACGGAGGAGGAGGAGGAGGAGAACCCTAAGATCTGTGCGATGCCACTTTTTTGCACTTCGCTATTTCGCCCGGTTTAGGGCCCCAGGGCCATGGCAGATCGAATTGGTCCGGGGATATGTTGCAGCAAGATGGGGTCTAGGGTTCTGGGCGTGTTTTGTTCGCGATTCTGTTTGGTTTACGCATTGTCTAATCTCAGGGGAGGAGGAGGAGGAGGAGGAGGAGGAGGAGGAGGAGGAGGAGGAGGAGGAGGAGGAGGAGGAGGAGGAGGGAGGAGGGATGAGGAGGAGGAGGAGGAGGAGGAGGAGGAGGAGGAGGAGAAGCAGGAGGGGACTGTTAGGAGGAGGAGGAGGAGGAGGAGGAGGAGGAGGGAGGAGGGAGGAGGAGGAGGGAGGAGGAGGAATCGGAATCGATGATCGAAGATCGAGGATCGATGGCGAGGAGGCGCAGGCGTAGCAGGAGGACGAGGAGACGGACGGTTCACCGCACCTCCTCTTCACGAGACGTCGCGCCCCGCCGTTCGAGAGCTTCCTCTCGTCACCCTCTGCCTCTCGTTACCCTCTCTGTCGGCCCACGGCCCACGGCCTCGGCCACTTGGTGACGACACGGCCGACGGCGTCAGCGTCAGGAGGAGGGTCGAGGATCGACGATCGTGTAGGACCGAGGGTCGAGGGGGGATCGAGGATCGAGGCTCGAGGGCCGACGATCGGGGAGGATCGACGATCGGGGAGGATCGACCAAAAGCCTCTGATGTATGTGCAGGACGAGCCCACAGATAACAACAAGGTCAAAGCAATTGCAGCTGAAGTCGAAATCAATATTTTGGTCAAGCAGAGCGCTGGCTCACCCATCTCTTGAGAATACCGGTTTCGCGCCAAAATACTGCAATGACGAACGCATCGACGAAACGGTTGTCTTTCTCGGTGGAGGGCCCTGAGAGCCCGAAAGCCATGAGAGAAAAACCTCAGAACCCAACTCCCTCAGCAGGAGCCTTTCCGAAGGGAGACTGCTCTTCGCCCTGCAACATGAGTCGTTTTCTGACAGCCCAGGGGCCCGTGGACCCCGAGAGCCCGAACTGAAGCTCGAGGCCCGACTCCCTCAGGACCCGTCTGCTTCGTCGCACAAGTCACATAGCGGGGACCTCACAGCGGCGCTTCGCGGAGCGGGGGCCTCCTCGGCTCTCCGCGACCGTCGGCCCCGGATCAGCGCTGGGGGGGACCTCTGGTGGCGCTTCCTTCGCCGCCCCTGGCGCGTTGCGCGCGCCAGGGAGGCGGGGGTCCAGCACGCCGATCCAAGAAATCCGCGCGGAGCTCCAAAAGTACAGGTTTATGTGCTTGTTGGTTCCTCTGCGAATCGGGCCTTGGGTCTGTTTGTAGTTTTCGGGCTCCCGGTGCCCTCCACGGGCCCAGTGGTCGTCAGAAAACGGCTCAGGGTGCAGGGCGAAGAGCATTTTCCCGTTAAACGGTAGGAGGTTCTCACATGCCACTGACGTTTGCCGTTTCGGCATCGCGTGCGTTTGTCCCCATACGCACGTCAACCTGGGCGTCTTATATGCTGCTGGAGCTCGGACTCTAAGCGTCGACTAGGAGAAGAAGTTTCGCAGTTTCGCACGACACAGCGCAGCATGCAACACATAATTGTACAAGTTGGACGCCTGCCGGATGAATCGTGGGTGTCTCACATCAAGCGGGACACGCACATCAGTGAGGAGTTTGCCACCAGGTTCGAAGCAGTTGAGTGGATTGCGCTCTTCAGAGAGGGGAGACGGGCGCTGACCGACAAGTCCTCTGCTTGCGCAGAGCCGCTGGAGTGTGAGAGCGCTCAACTCGGCGCCGTGGCATAGGGTATTGGCTGCGAGAACGCCAGGCGGACAGCACAAACGCTGGACCGACGCTTGACAAAGATGTAATATTTCCTGCCACTGCCCCGCGCAAGGCCAGAGGTACAGGGGCGCTCCTGACATCTCCATCAGCTCTCTATCTCACTGTTTTTTTGTTTTTCTTTTGTTCTCTCTCTCTCTCTCTCCCTGTGGTCCAGGACCCGTTTTCCTCAAGACCCGTTTGCTCAATGCCAATCTGCGATATTATCGTCTCCGTCTTCGGCGATTTCGAACGTCGGGATGAGCTCAAGCAGCCGCGACTCGCCGAGAGCGTTCCCGGCGTGCTCGAAACGCATTAGACGGCCGCTGGAGACTTGAGCTATGGCCTGGAAGCCGCCCGACTTTTCGCCGAAGTGGTGCAATAGGTTTGCGTCGTGTCGGCCCCGCCGCCAGAGCTTCAAACATGGAGCGCCGCCGGCGACCCAGAATCGTTCGATTTTGAACGATCGAAAGGCCGATCGTTCAAGGCTCAACGATCCCAGCGGTGTTAGGAACCGACGCCGGGGTCGACGCGACACGAACCTGCCGTGCGCGGCTTTCGGGGGGCGCCCAGTGGGGGGCAGTCCCGGCCTCGCGGGCCGCTGATGTCGCAATTGCGTGCAGCGATCGGTGAGCACGCGCACCGAAGGCCGCTCTTGCCCGGGGTCACTCTTGCCAGTGGCGTCCTTGGCCCAAGGTGCCCGCAAGCTTTTCGCTTCACGAGAGCGTTTTGTATTGCTGGGTGATGGCGGGCGTTACCTGGGGGGGGGCGGTAACGTCAGGTTTTGCGCAGGCGCCGTCTTGGAATGCTTAGGAATAGCCAGAGACAGCTCGGAAGTCGACACAAATAGTGATTTTACCTGCGGGGATGGGTTATGGCCGGGGCTGGTAACGGCTGCTATCGATAGAAAGAAAAATGCTCTCAATTTTGGAGCCCTTGGCTCCGAAACTCAGCTCTAGTGAGGCTGGCCGCCGAGAGCGCACAGTGCCATTTGGAATCAACTAGCGAATTTAATGGGTTATGATGAGGATAGATCGCTCCATAAATGCCATAACGCTTTCAGGACGTTCCAGAGCGTTCTAAAACGCCCGCGTTGCCCGATACTAGATTCTTCAGACCTGCCGGCTCATAGATTATCGAATTATCCTCATCAGAGCTTGCATAACCTTCGCTTCATCTTACTCGAGGCCGCGCGTCGCCACCGCAGAGATAGCCGATAATGCTTCCGTACTCATGTAGCCCAAATCAGTCCTCCAAGCTCGTGGCCAACGCCGCCGTCCGCTGTTGGTCATCCGCGGACGGGCCCAAGAGCAGAGTGCTCTGCTCTCTCGCAGTGTTTTTGACCTCTTCCTCCTTGACGTCGGCAGCCCTGTCACAGAAAGGGATAGCCTGGCGCTTGGAGAACTGCCTGGGAAGATGTGTTGCTGAGGTCAGCATATCCAGCAGGACGAGAGGGAGAAGACTGTGAAGCTCCTCCCGTCGTGGACCTTTTCAGCCGGGATTTCACGCTTCACGCATCTTGGTTGGATGGTGTCGCCGAAGAACGTAGAGGGATTATGTTTGCCGAAGCCAGCATCCGCAGCAACACAACAGGGAGGGCAATGTGAAACCCCTCCGCCCGCCTGGGCCCTCTCGGCTCGGGGCTTGCAGCCGTAAGGGTAATCTGCTTGCCGAGGCCAGCATCCGCAGCAGAACAAGAGGGAGAGGACTGTGAAGTTCCTTCCCTTGCCTTGGTCCTCTTGGTCAGGGGCACGCAGCTGTAGAGGTAATACAATCCGTGCTCGCCCGCGAAAGGCGCCGCCCGCGAGGCAGGTGCCGTCGAAGTGGCCCGCCGAGGAGAAGTTTCCGGCCGCTCCCGAGGTGCCGCCGTCCTCGCCCTCCTCCGCACCCACCTCAGCAACCGTAGCCATGTTGGCTCAAGTCTGGAGCGTGAGGCTCAGGACGAAAGTCTTCTTTTGGCAAGAGGGCCTGCGGCCCCACCCGTCCGCGGAGGCAACACTTCCAACCACTTTTTTCGTAACGCATCGCAGGTTCATCCCGCGTCACCTTTGATCACCATTACTTCATGGTCACTCGGCCATGGGCCATGCTGGAGGCCGTTCTCCCAGGGCCGAAATATCCAGTGTGGGGGTGTGGGCGTTGCGGATCAGCGTGCAATTGGGCGTCCATGGTGTTCCTGTTCGGAAATCCCCCCCAGAGAGTTCAGCATAAGGCTAAGGAGGCAGCAGCAGCAGTGGCAGCAGGCGGAGCCAAGGGCAAAAACAAAAATGGGTCAGGCAATCGTGGCGCATCGTCCAGTGCTCGAGGCAAGGGATATGCCGTTCGACTCCAGAAGATGGAGCAGCAGAAGGTGCAGTGCAAGCCATCCAGAAGTCTGCAACCGCAAGGGCCACACGTACAGGCGTCATCCCGCCATGTCTTCGCAGTGATGAGGGTAAAAGCACGCTGGCAGATTCGTCCTTGGTTGACGACAGTGTCAGCGATGCGATCAAGCGTGACAAGTTCATGGTAGACAGCGCTGAGCTTGAGGTCGTCGCCAAGCGCCTCCAGGATCCAGAGTTACGCAAGCCAATCGATGAGAATATCTCGTCGCTGCAAGCTGGATGCAACAAGTGGCGATCCCCGACTACGGCGCACCGAGGGGCGCCCCAGGATCTTTCAGCAATCGCGAAGGCGAGCTCGCTGTCAAGGAGATCAATGGCGCGCAGCTCGAGACCGAGTTCGCCGAGACGGCTAAGCAGCTCGCGCCCGACAAGGGGACCGAGGCAGCTGCTCTCCCCGATTTGTTTCTGCTCTTCGAGGTCAAGCCCGGAGATGCCCCCGGCGAGTCGGATTCATTCGGGGCCCATTGACAGCGAGGCCGTCTCGCTGCCTCGCAGAATCGACGTTGATGCTGACCATGCACCCCATGATGCCAATGGCGAAGGCGATCAAGCCGATGGCGGCGCCAGCGCTGAAGCAGCCCCTTCAGGAGGTGGAAGCGCCAAACGAGAGCGCGTTGTTCTGGGCGAGGAGGAGCAACAACAGTTGCTCTATTCAGCCAATGATGAACAAACTTTCAAGGAAAGGCTCGCCGAGATGCAAGCCGAGCGCGCGACGCGTTCCCAACGAGTGCGAATTGGTACGTTGGGTTGATTTTGTTTCCTCGCCGGCTTTTGCAGCGACGGCGTGGGGTTCGGGCGCTTTGTCGACTTTGCGGCCCTGGCTCTCCCTTGAGAAGGCTGAGATGCAGTCCCAGATGAAACTCAGCGCGGCCCCGCGGTCCAAACGGCCCCCTGGCCGCGGCGCCCGCAGCGCGGGATCTCAGGCTTGAGAATCGCCGGGGGGGCGCGGGCCGAGTTCGCGCCCATCCTCCGTTTGCGGCGACGGCAGGGGTTTCCGGCACGTCGTCGACTTGGCGGCCGTGGCTCTCCCAAGGCTGAGGCCCAGCCCCAGCTGGCGCCCAGCGCGGCCCCGCGGTCTATCCCGCGCCCTGCCCGGGGCCCAGAGCCGCAGAATCGCCGGGGGAGTACGGGCCGCGCTCCGCCCATCACCCACCTCGGTCGCGTCGCCTGGCGCTCGGGCTCGGCGCGGCGGCTTCGATTCAGATCAGCGCGCTGCCCTTTTGTCGCGCGTCTCAGGGTTCAGCTTCGCTCGCCGGGGCAGAAGCGCCAGAGACGGGGGCTGCAGGCGCCCGCGCGTTGAGACATTCAGCGCCAACGGCGGCGCAAATGTGGCGAACGAGCGCGCGTGGAAGACCGCGGCTACAGTCGCTGTGGCGCAGGGCCTGGGCCGCGTCGGCGCCGACCCCGAGGCCCCCGATTCTAGGCGCGTTGCGCGAGGTTGGCAAATGGGGGCGATGGCAGCCCTCGCGACAGCAGGGTTCAACGCGTCTGCTTTGCTTGCGGCATTTGCGCGGTCAGGGCGCGGTCTCCGCCCGCCCGCGCTAGGAGCTGAATGCGTCTGGCCTCGGTGCTGCAGGCGAGTTGAGGTGGGCCCGCCAGGCTGGCCTGCCTTCTCGGTCCTCGGAGCCCTGCCCCTGCCCGGGCGCGTGCCCAGGCGCTGGTAACGCCCCGATTCTAGCTGCGCTAGGTCAGAGCATGAGCGCGATGAATGGACGTGCCTGCGTGGCAGGGGATTGGAACATGAGCCCCGAAGTTCTGGAGTCCTCCGAGTTCCCGTTCCTGGCTGGCTCGCGCGTTTCGGCGCCTGCGGTGCGGGCGCGCGAAGGGGGCGTCGGTTCCGCTGCGCCTGATTTTTCGGTTGCAGCGATTTCCTCGCGCGAGGTTTTGAAACGCCCGCGGTCGACGCGCGCTGGGCGGTCAGACCTCGCGGGCCCATCCATCTAGCAATAACTATTCGATAACGGCGTCAGGCTTCGCCGCCGCGTGCATTTCGTCGCCCTGGCGCTGCCCGGCGAGCCCCCCGCCGGGCCAGCCCCTGCCCGCCCGATTTGGAATGTCGAGCGCCGGCTTGCCGAGAGCGCCCGCGAGGCTGCTCGCGCCCCTGGGGCGCCCGCGTCGTCGGCGCGGGTTCCGTCGTCGACGGGCCGGGGGCGGTTTGCCACCGCGGCCGCTAGATGTTTCGGGGGGGCGCGCAGGCAAGCCGATTTCATGCTTGGGGTCCTTCGGGCGAGGCTTAAAAGCGCGATGGGTGCAATCTGCCGCCGACGGCTTGAAGTTGCGTCGAAGCGCCGCTGGCCAGGAGCTCGCTTTCTCGCGCGTGGCCGACGCAGACCAGAACCAGTTCATGCTTGCGCGTGTGATTTCAGGTTCCATGGCCGATGACTTCCCTGAGTCCGACTTATGCGCGCGATTAGAACGACATGTAGCTTTGGTTCGTCATATAGTGAGGGCCGATCTCATTGACGTTGAAGAGCTCGGGAATGTTCGGTCGGATGTCGAAGCAGATGTCGAGCATGCCGACAGAGGGGAGTCCGCGGAGCAGAAAGCCGCATGGAAAGAGTGGCGCCAGGCTGCAATGGCAGCTGGCGCCAGAGGTTTTCGCGATATCACCGCTCGCAGGCAAGTTCGATATGCCGTCGCAGCGCAGGGGCCGCCGGGACCGATTGCCGACGCGGTCAGTATAGTCGAGCAAGAGGTCCCTACAAGACGCAGTGGCAAGCCTCTGATGAGGCGCCTATCAGAGGCGTGTTTTCCCATTAATACATCGAACGAGCGGTGGGCGGAAAAGCGCGACGTCCGCCTGGGCCCCCGTCGGGCGAGCGGAAATACGAGCGCAGCGGCGACCCGCCGCTGCTGATAGCGTGAACGCGCGGTCATCGCGGCGACGACGACGGCGGCGACGACGACGGCGGCGCCTGCGCCGACGCCGACGACGACGGCGGCAACGGCGACGGCGGCGACGACGAACATCGGCGACGGCGGCGACGGGGCCCAGGCCCGCGGGTTTTACCCCGGCCGTCCCTCCGCTTTATTAAAGCTCTCTTCCCGCTCTAGTAAAACGTCGTCTGCCCGAAAGCATTGAGCGGCGCGCTTTAGTAAAGCCGTTCCGTCGCTTTAGCGCAGCCGCTTCCTCGCTTTCGTAAAGCCGCTTTTTCGCTCTAGCAAAGTCCGTGGTTTGCCCTGGTAAAGCCCTGGGGATGTGGCGGCGATGCGCGCCTGGGGCCCGGTCGGGGGGCGGGGGGCGCCTGTCTTTTTTGCGAATCCACCCCGCGATGCGCGTGCTCGAGTAATCAGGGTCGCGTCGCGTCGGGTCGCGGCGATCCTTGGGCATGTTTTCAGCGAGTTGTAGATGCTCCTTGGTAGGGGATTCAGGCCGCGAGCGCACGACGTGGCATGGTTATTCGGGCGCCCAGCCGCGGCTGTCGCGCAACAGAGCAACAACACTGTACCAAACGGCTTGTTTCCTGTAGCAAATAACTCCTTCAAGGTAATAGTCATACTTTCCGCTTCCAAGCCTAAGGCACGGGCACCCGACAGGTTTTTTTTGGGCAGATTTCCGCGGAGACGACGCGCGAGGTCGGCCGAAGTTTTTCAACGAAGCACATCCGGAAGCCTGGGCCATGTCCATCCTCGGTTCGCGCTGGGCGATCGAGAAGCCGAGGTTCCCGGTGAATTGTGGCATGCGCGTGACGCGATATGATTTCTGGCCTCGACATTTTTTGTGGGTTGCGCGACCAATGTCCCCCGAACCCAAAAGTTTTTTCGGAATTGTACCATCTCATCTGGCCGTTTCCTCCGTCCTCCTCCTTCTCCTCTCTCCCATCCCTGTTCCTACAGTCGCTATGTATGTTTTTGGTTGTTCGGCTAATTCGGCCAAGGGGATGTCCACGCAACATTTGTTTTCTGCTCCCCCTCCCCGTGCTCCCGTTTTCCTCTTCCTTCTCCTCCTCGTCCTCCTCCTCTTCCTCTTCCTCTTTTCCCCATTGCACGAGTCTTGGGTTTTTGCTGGTTTAATGTTATGCCAGGTCGGCGGAGTTGCGGCCGCGCTCGCATGCCAGTCTAGCGAGTTATGTTGCTTTGCTCGTCGTCCGAGTGGGCTCGGGACGATAGGTTGCCCTTTGGAAGGGGCAGCGGATCGTGCGGGGTTCGCGCGGTAAAGCAATATAGCGTGCCGCGCTGGCGGCCCGCGTAAGCCGCCGCGTAAAGTCGCTGTGCCATCTCGCGTAAATGCCGGTCCTGGTCGTCGTTCGTTTGGCGCGAGGATTTGGTCACAACCCGAGTTTGGGATGCGTGCCCTTCTGTTCTTCGTGCTGCGGTTGTCCACTCTTTTGGATCGTTGAGGCTTTCTGCGAAGAGGCTCGTGTCATTGACCCGCGTCGCTCAAGTGGCATAGCGTCTCGTCGCCCATACGGTCTCCCCCCCGCACGCGAGCGACGGCGGCCTCCCGCGAGGGCTGCCGGTGCGCCCCGCCGCTTCAGTATGAGAGGCTGTGGCCTCTCGCCCGTTCCTGCCCGTCATGAAGGGCCCTGAGCGACGGCCCACGCGAGCGACCGTCTCGGGGCTCACGGTTCACGCAGCGGGGGTCAAAGCAGGTGCACCTGAAAAATTGAATCGAAGTCGGTCTTTTGGTCAAGCTTGGCTGAGAAGTACCGGCTTCGCGTCAAATGCCGCAGTGACGAACGGACCGATGAAACATGCAAGGGAGTCGGCCAGAGAGAGACGAGGGGGTCAAGCGCTAAGGGGGGTCAGGTAACCCCCTCTGGCTGTCCCAGGTTTGGTGGCCACGTTTGGCCAATTCCCCCTCTCCGCCCTCCGCTGACCCTGGTTCGGGGGTAGGCGGCCAGCCAGGCTTCGCGACAGGGCTTCGCGACAGGGCCTTGGCCGACGCGAGTTTGCGCTGACCACGGTTCGTGCGTTTTCGAGCTCGGCGCTGTCTGGCGCTGCTGTCCGATGTTGCTGTGCCCCTCTGGTGCCTCTGTTCCTGCCCGCCAAATGGGGTTCGTCAAGGTGCCCTTTGAACTGTCCATGTTGGAGATTGCCGAAAGCGTTCGTTTCGGCGCCACCCAAGCAGATTTATATTTTTATATTATATCCGCCTCGGCCAAAATCGTGCGTGCTCTGCGCTGCTCGGCTCTGCTGTGCAATGCCGCCCTGCGCCCAGCCGCTGCCTGGCGCGTGTCCAGGCATGCTCGCGTCCTGAACAGATCAGGACAGGAGGTTTTGAACCGTTCTCGGCTTGTGGGGGCCCTTACTGGGCCGTGGGACCGTCAAAAACATTCGGGATGGAAATCTGGCCGCAGGGAAAGGGTCGGCACTGCCGGGGACTTCGTATTGAAAAAATCAGGACATCGCATTGTGGCGATCGTATGTGGGTGGGACCCACCTGCACATGCTGGTGCTCGCGCGCAAACGGCAGCGCACCCCAGCCCCCACGTGCCCCACCCCGCCCAAGCGTTACTGCTATTGGAAATAATCAAACTAGCACAGTTTCCTCCTGCCCGCCAGGGAGGGGGTTCGTGGAGGTGCCGCGGGACCTGTCCAGTTCGGAGATTGCCAGAAGGGTCCGTTGCACATGGCCGGTTTCGCGCGTGCGGCTCCTCTCGACGATCGCAATAAAGCAAAGACAAAAGGGCACGGGTGCCGCTCCCGTTCGTGCGAGAAGAGCCTTCTTGATTCGGTCCTTGTTGCAGCTCCCGCCGACCAGGGGTGCGGCTTGGCTAGAATCTCGAGCATAATCCAGCCGTGGCGACGAGAGGAGCAATCTCGGAGGCCCACAGAGGGCGAAAGACGTTCAAATCGAATATGATGAAATAGTATCAACATGAACTGTTGGTGGTCCACGTGGATTCTTTGGATCAAGGCAGGACCCCGGTCTCTGGCGCGTGGAGCTGCGCCTCCAGGCTTGCGGGGGGCCAGCGCCGGTCCAAGAAATCCTCGCGGACCTTCAACAGTTGACGCTTCGGGCGCCATGTTCTTTTACGACAGAAGCCGCGTAGAGCCGCTCGAACCCTCGATGCATCCCCTTCCCCCGCCTGCCCGCTCCCCCCACCCGCTCCGCCCTCCCGAGAAGGGGCTCCTCGGACCCGAGGTGCTCGAGCCCGGAGCGCCGAGAGCGCCGAGCGGCGTGATGACCACCGGCGCGCCCTCCGGTATTCTTCTCTGCGCGGGGCCGCCGGGAGGCCAGGAGTCGGCGGCAGATCTCCGACGACTTGTTTTCTTCAAAAGGCGTTTTTTTTCTCGGTTGCGGCCTCTGGGGTAGGGTGACGAGGTCTATGCATATCCATTGCCCCTGGCCGTGCGCATCCTGGAGCCAGGGGCGGTGGTTGTGTCTTCCTGGCCAAGCCAGGAGGGCGCACACACCGCTCTTTGGTTCAGGACGGGCCTGGCCAGGGGCGGTAGATGTGGACAGATCTCGTCGCCATATGGGGCCCGCTATCGGGCCCGAACTCCATGAAGTAACGAATCCAGCAGCTGTTCTCCTCGTTGGCGGTGTCGCTGGCGGCGAGGTTGGCGGCGCGGCGCCTGGCGCCGGCGGCATGACTGGAAGCGGGGGAGCAGGTGGGGCGGACCACCTGCTCCGCTACCAATATCAACCGATGAAAGCACACTAACTCCTTCACGTGCTCTCTAGAGAAATACTGTCTGTAGTATCTCGGGCTCTCTGTGAATAATCGTCGTGACAAGAAGAATACAGAACGCAACCTTTTGTGTGACTCAGTGGCCCCTCGATCAAGAAACAGCGGCGGTTCAAAAACCATGAAACGCACTGCTTGCTATACTGCTGCAAATCACTGTGCTAAGAGACACATGCAATAACATTAAACATTAACGGAAAGGGTTCCAGTTGACAGGTGCGACGCGGAATAAAGCGTTCGTGGCGGAGGGGGCAGTGGGAGGGGCTCCCGCTGAGGCGCTGGGGACGCGGGGGGGCTCGGGGCAGAGAGCCACGGCGCGGGGGTCCCACTGGCACTGGGGACGCGGGGGGGGGGTGTGCGACGCGGAATAAAGTGGTCGGAGTTCTAGACACCCTGTGCAATACAATTAAGTATTGTGCAAAAGGCTGTTACACAACTCTATGTGTGAAGGCCATTGCAGATCCCCCACACTTGAAATCCTTGTGTAAGGTCGCTACACAAGGAATCAGTTTGTAAAGGCTGCTACAAAAGGATTGTAAGTGTGGAGCGTCTGCGCCATAAGGATACCGACAGTCACAGGTCATCCCAGCTTATTTCCATTTTTCAGATTGAAAAACTGATGTTTGTTTCTGGTGTGTCCTGTTGTTCCTGTTTTCCTCTCTAGCTTTCCTGGGCTCAAGGTGCCGCAACTGCATATTCCCCACAATGGAGCCGCTGATGTAAGGCCGCCACAACAAGAACTATGTAGTAAAGGCTGTTGCAACAGGGTTTTAAATGTGGAGGCCACTGCAGGTCACCCACACTTGGGATCATTTTGTAAGGTCGCCGCAACATACATCCTTGTGTGAAGGCTGCTACAAAAGGAACTTACGTGTGGAGCGTCTGCACCACAAGAGTACCGACTGTCAGGGTTTTTTCGAGTTGTTTCTTATTTCTCCATGCGAAAACACATGTGGATTTCAGTCCTTGACGGTTTTCCTCGGGGAACGGGAAGCCGGGATCTTTGGCTCTCTGCAGTCATCCTGGCTCAGGGGATGCAGTGGGCGCTGGACACGCTCACAGCATACTCAGGAGCCTTCGGCGTCGGCGCGGTGTTTGGCACGCACCTGTGCTCGACCCAGCCTTGCATCTGCCACTGCGATTTTGGGCCAGATCGCGGGCTCCTGGACGTGATCCAGAGGCAGCTGGACCGCTGCACGGCAGCTGGGCTGGCGCCCGCGCCCTCGCGACCGAACCCAGAGCTGGCCTGGTCGACAGCGTGGTGCTGGCTGCTGGCGGGGCTGGGGCTCGGGTTCATAGGCGGAGTTCTCCTCGGCGGCTACCTCGCGCTGGTCGTCGTGGGACGACTGGACTGGCAGGGAGGCGTCAAGAGGGCCGTCGGCGACAGGCCCCAGACGCAGTCAGTCCCTCCGGGTGCTGAAGCTCTCCAGTCCCAGCGTCGGCCGGAGGTGGTGACACCGTTGTGATTTCGCATCAGTGGCTGAGACGTTGGACGCGGACTTGATTCAGGTGGGCATCGATTTCCAAGATGACCCGGACATACGATGGCACCGCATGGTTTGGTTGTATGAGTTGGGGCCAGGGCGGTGGGAAGCGAGCACACCAGACTTCGGCATCGAGGTTGTGGATCTTGCGAACCACCCGGTTGTGCTTCTGAGTCGTGCGACCCGATGGCCAGAGCGTGTTCGGGGCAACGTGCACGGGTTCGACCCGCTCAGTGAAGAGCAGGAGGAGGATATACACTTGAGGGGGCTGCAGCTCGCGAAGGTGCTGGGGTACAAAGTCACACCGAGCGCCACAGCGGGTGCTGCAAGACGCTGGGGAGCGTCGGACCCTGGGCACAGCGAGTTCAACAGCGAGCTCGAGGACTCGGACATGCTGCCAAGGAGTCGAGCCCTGGTCAGAGGTGACTGCGGGCTGTATCTCATCGACGAGGATGAGGAGGATTGGGTCAGTGTAGAACGGTTTCCCAGTCGGCAGCTGGGCGGGAAGAAGGAGAGGAAGAGGAGCGCAGTGTTGAAGGAGTCGGTCAACATGTTCAAGGTCCCGAAGGTAGAGGACTGGCCGTCCCGAAGGTAGAGGACGAGGCTCTGTCCGAGGTGGCGAAGGCCAAGCTCGAGCTGCACTTGTATCCGACGTGGTGGGGGAGCAAGAGCGGGGTGAACCCGCCGAGCAGTGTTGCGCGTGAGATGCGGCGGTGCATCGTCTACCTTCGGTGATTTCAGTCGCCTTGCCAGCTGAACCTCTCCACGCTGTCGGGCGATGGGCTGATCTGTCGGCGGGTCATTGTGTGCCGGCGGGCCGTCAGGAGGGGCCCGGAGAATCCGGACTATTCGGGGTTCGTGCGTTTCCTGCTGGCATCGTTCGACGACAGCGGGGAGCTGCGGATCTCGGGGATCGACAAGCGCATGGCCGAATCCCAGAAGGCCGACGCTACGGTGCTGAGGCGGTTCAGGCTGCGGCAGGAGGTGCTCGAGGCGGACGAGAGGAGGCAGGCCGCCAAGCCAGGCGGCAAGTCGTCGTCGGGGTGATGGCGCGCGCGCCGGCGTCGGCCGCTGGGCTGGCATCGCGGGGCCTGGGTATTGCAGGCGCCGGCGCGCGGGAGGGTCTTCGCCCTCGCACTCGTGGCCGCGATGTTTTGTTCCATGCGGAAGCGTTCCCTCTTCTTCGGCCTGCCGACGAGCGAGGTGATCGCGCGGCCCCGTGTCGCTTCCAGGTGGGCGCTGGGAGTCCTGACTAGCGGCGCCTCATGGAGACCAACGTTGTGAGTGCTCTCAGCGGACTTGCTGGTGCCCGCGCTGGAAGGCCGCTGCAGTTGCGGCGGCCTGGGTATAAAGTCGGTGGCCCCTCTGATCCTCAGCGGTCAATCTTGGGGCGAGTCGCTCGGGGGGTAGACGGCGTGTTTCCTGCCCCAGACGACTTCGATGCAAAGAACTCTCTTGTTTCCTTAATGAAGTGCAAGGATATGCACAAAGTTGGCGACGTCACTACTCGGGTGCCTATGGCGCTGGAGCGTCTGAAGGTCATGAAGGACGACGCCGCGCCCAAGGATGCACTCAGCCTGGTGGGGAACGACGCGCGCGAGCTATTACGAGACCCCGGGCGCCTCATCGAGCGCCAGCCAGACCAAGATGATAGCCGAGGGGTTCCTCCACGACCATATATGGATCCAGGGCTGAGGGGCAACTCACCCATGCTGCGAGAGCTGATCAGCCGTCTTCACTCGTGCGTGCTCGTCGTGTACCGCAGGCGGGTGAAGTCATTCGTGGGGCTCTTCGCGGTTTTGAAGAAGGGCGGCTGGTGGCAGCGGCTCATCGTAGATTCCCGAGTGCCAAACTTTTTTCATCGTCGGCCTCCGCGTTCATATTTGGCCACGCCAGGGACACTCACTGGGTTGGATGTGTCGGCCGACTCGTTGGGAGCAATGGTCGACGGCCTCCAGCTCTGCGGGTGCTCAGTGGACTTCCAGGACGGCTTGTGCCAGCTGCGGCACCTCCTTCTCTCCGACTGGTTCGGCACCCCCGCCGAGACCACCGCGGGGGAGGCCGGCGTCAGCGTCGTCTACGACCACGTTGACGGGCAGGACGTCTGGGAGCGAGTCGAGCCGGACCAGCGAGTCTGGCCGTGCTTCTGCGGGGTGGCCATGGGCTGGTCGTGGGGCCTGTGCATCTGTCACTCTGCGCTGACCGATGGGCTGATCGCGGCGGTCGGGCGCGTGATGGCTTGCAGCCGAGAGGCCGCAGAGCGCCAGCTCGCTCGAGACGGCTTCCCGGCCCCGTGCCTCTCCATGGGCAGGCCTGTCATCGCGCCCTGCGTGGACAACGGGAACGTGGTGTGCTACGACGTGGCCGACGCGAAGCTGGCTTACAAGGAGATGGTGGGCGAGCTGGTCTCGAGGGGCTTCACTCTTCGGGACCTCGTTGAGTTCGACGAGGATTTGGACATGGTCGGCTTCGTGCTGTGCGGCTCGGACAAGTGCTGGAAGCACCGGCGGTCTCGCTTCTGGCGGCTCTACTGCGGAGTGGGCCAGCTGCTGGCCCGTGGTGACTGCGCGGGGGACGTGATGCGCGTGGTGCTTGGGCACATGGTCAACTTCTTCCTGCTTTCCCAGTGCTGCCTGAGCATCTTGCAGGAGTGCTACCAGTTCGTTCAGGAGAACATCGGACGTTACAGGCGGTTCAGTGACGCGGTCGTCTCCGAGCTTCGCGCGTGCCAGGGGGTGTTGCCGCTGGTGGTCGCGAGGCTCAGCGACCCGTTCTACGGGAAGGCCTTCATCAGCGACTCGTCCACCCACGGCTACGCGCTTCACCAGGGCTACTTCAGTGGGGCCGAGCTTCGGGCCGTTGGTCGCTGGAAGGAGCGCTGGCGCTTCGCCGACGAGGAGGAGGCTCTGGGTCTCGGCCTTGAAGCTGACGGGCTAGGCCTCGACGCCAACTTCGACTGCCTAGGCGAGTCGTTCGACCTGGGCGAGGTGCCGGGAGGTGCCCCGCAGAGGCCGACGGCCGAGGGGCCCGTCGGGGCCCAGTCGCGGTCGGCGAAGCCCGAGATGGTCACTGCCATCGTGCCGGCGCTGCCCGACGAGCTGCTGGGCGGGGCACGCTGGTCCAGAGTACTGGTGGGGGCCTGGGGCCGGCGGGAGGCGATCCACATGAAGGAGTGCCGCATCTCGCCGGCAGGGCTCAGGCACGAGGTCGCGGACCCCAGGGCGCACGGATGCCAGGTCCTCACGGTTGGCGACAACCTCTCCGAGATCATGGCGACCGAGAAGGGGGGGCCGTCGACCGTGGGTTGAACGCCCTCTGCCGTCGGGCGGCCGCCCTCCAGCTCGGCGCCGAGGTCCGCTGGGTGAGGAGATACGTCGAGTCGGAGCGCAACCCGACGGACGCCGACTCCCGCCTGGCGGACAAGGGCATCCTGAAGGCGGGCGAGGCGCTGCGCCCTGGCCGCCTGGCCGGGCGGCTGCGGGCGGCGGCCGCTAGCGGAGCGGCTGCCCCTGCGCGGGCGGCCGAGGGCCGGAGCCCGAGCTACGCACGGGGCGCCAGCCAGGCGAGGCGGCCGATCGGCGTGCTCGAGCTGTTTGCCGGCTGCGGGCGCCTCTCGGGAGCCTGCGCGCAGGCCGGCCTGCGCATTTTGTGTCCGATCGATGTTGCGAATGGAAAACACGTTGACTTACTCGACTCACGTGTTCAGTGTAAAGTCATCCGTTGGATTCGAGAAGGAAGGGTGTGTCACGTTCATCTGGCTCCGCCATGTACCCGCTGGTCCCAGGCGCGATCGACTGGCTCCAAGGACTCCAACGAGGTCACCAGGGGCCTGGCGCTGGCGCTCTTCAGTTGTCGAGTTCTACGGGTTTGTCGTCAGTGCGGGGTCACGGTCTCGGAGGAGAGCCCGGCCTCTTCTGGGATATGGGCCTGCGAGCCACTGAAGAAGGAGCTCCAGACGAGCTCGTGCAGCCCTGTCCGCTACGACGCGTGCAGGTACGGAGCCCCGTTCAAGAAGCCTACGATTTTCTATGCGAACGTGGTCTCTCTCGGGGCCCTGGATAGAAAGTGTAGCTGCAGAGTCCCCCGCGAGATCCTCGAGGGCAAGGTCAGGGTCGAGGGCCCAGACGGTCGTCCTACCTGGCGCTGGAAAACCTCGTTGGCCGCCGCCTATCCGCCTGGAGCTTGCCGCGCGTATGCCGATGGGTTCAAACAGGCTGCTCCGCCCGGGGCGTTTCTTCGAGCGGGGGGGCCAGCGCGCTGTCAACCCTGGGCCGATGAGCTGGCGGGCGAGGTCGGGGTCACCCCGCAGCCGATCGCCGCGCCGACGTGTCCACGGCGGTTTGCTATTGGATGGGAGCGCGCGACAGGACATGCCATGTGCGGGTCCAGTGGCGAGAGGAGGCGGCGAGCCATCGCTGCTCTCGCCCTCGCGGACGCCCACCAGGCTGCTGACCACCGCGGGCCCTCCAACGCCTGGCTCGGCGGACCGAGGCTCGGGCGCGCCGAAGGCGGACGCTTTGCGCTCCGACCGAGCCCGAGCGCGGGCCGCCAGGGCAGGAGGTTCTCAGCAGGAGGGGTACTTGAAGAGTCGGTCGATCTCCGCCAAGACTCTGCGGGTGTACACAGAGGCGGTGAAGCTGTTCTACCTGTTTTGCAAGAGCGTCATGCTGCCCGCCGCCACGTACCAGGAGCTGGACGTGGCCATGGAGCAGTACCTGCACAAGCTGTATTTCGACGGGGAGACGATCTCTCGCCCGAGCAACACGGTGCACGGGCTCATGTACGAGCACAACCTCACGTGGTCGAAGACGTCGGAGTTCCCGCTCACACGGAAGGCCCTGCAAGGCTACCGCAAGAGTTCGTGCAACGTGTCGCGGGATGGCGCCCCGTGGGAGTGCGCCATTTTCCTGGCCGGCTTCATGGCCCGGCGCGCCTCGATCGAGTCGATCCAAGCGGCGGGCCTCTCTCTCCTCATGTTCGATACCTGCCCGAGGATCTCGGAGGCCGTCTCCTTGGGTCGAGATCAGGTCGTCCCTCCCCAAGCTCGCTCGGGCCCTCGAAGCTACCACTCGCTGATCGTTGCGCCGAAAGAGCTCGGGAAGCCGACGAAGGCAGGAGCCTGCGACGACACCGTCCTCGTCGGAGAGACGGCGCCAGAGCGGAGGCCCGTCCTGCGTGCGATCCTTGTGCAGATCCTTCGGGCCACCAAGCCCGGGGAGTATCTCTTCCCAGACCTCGCCGCCCAGAAATACGAGCTGATCTTCAGGCGGGCCTGTCAGGCCTTGAACTTCGGCGATCTCAAGCTATGCCCAGACAGCCTCCGACACGGGGGGGCCTCAGTCGACGCCCTGAATGGAGTCGACACTCCCACGATCCAGAAGCGAGGTCGGTGGAACGTCATCGCTTCTTGCCGACGATACGAGAAGAAGGGCCGTATCTTGAAGCAGCTGTCCATCCTCGGCCAGGCGCGCGTGCAGGAGTCCGTCGGCGAGCTGGCCTGGCTGGTGTCGAAGCTGCCTCAGCTGCTCTTCTCTGCCCTCAAAGATAAAAAGAAATATTCCTGATATTGTGAATGAGGTTACCCACCCACCCTCCCGTAGGCCCCAGGGAATCCTGGTGGTTGCGGGGAGCTGTTGGCTCACGAGCGTTGCGACAGAATTCTGCGTGTGATCTACCCTTGGGTATAATTCACGATTTGATTTACCTGTGAATGTTCTCGTGCTTGAACGTGCCTGAAGATTCGACCACTCTGATGAAAATATGTTGCCAGTCTGACGGGCCACCTCGTGTTTTGTATAGCCTTTCCGGGCACTCCGCTATCCCTACCCCGGCCGCCTAGTGTATCGAGGATTTCAGTCCTTGACGGTTTTCCTCGGGGAACGGGAGGCCGGGCTCTTTGGCTCTCTGCAGTCATCCTGGCCCCACCCATCTCCCTCTTCGACTGTTTGCTTCTTTGTATCGCATCGGGGAGCTGTCGGCTCACGAGCGTTGCGACAGAATTCTGCGTGTGATCTACCCTTGGGTATAATTCACGATTTGATTTACTTGTGAATGCTCTCGTGCTTGAACGTGCCTGAAGGCTCGACCCGTCTGATGAAAATATGTTGCCAGTCTGACGGGCCACCTCGTGTTTTGTATAGCCTTTCCGGGCACTCCGCTATCCTTACCCCGGCCGCTTAGTGTATCGAGGATTTTTTTTTTTGTTTTTCCAGTTTTCCTTTTTAGTTTTTCTGGGCTCAAGGTGCCGCCATTGCAGACCCCCCCCACAATGGAAGCCCTGTTGTAAGGCCGCCACACAAGGATTCCCTTTGTAAAGGCTGCTACAACATGCTTCTAATTGCGAAGGCTACTGCAGATCCCCCTCACTTGAAATCCTGGTGTCAGGTCGGCACATAAGGAATCCTGTGGTAAGGGCTGCTACACAAGGATTTACAGTGAGGAGCGCTTGCGCTACAAAAGTACCGACAGTCACATATTCTTTCCATGTGGAAACAAATGATGGTTCGTGCTTGTTCTTGTTATGATGATGCTGCTTAATGATGCAGATGATGATGATGGTGATGATGATGCTGCTGCTGATGATGATGATAATAATAATACTGATGATGCGGATGATGATGATGATGGTGATGGTGATGGTGATGGTGATGATGCTGATGCTGATGCTGATGCTGATGTTGATGCTGATGCTGATGCTGCTGGTGATAATGATGATGCTTATGATGCAGATGATGATGATGATGATGATGATGATGATGATGATGATGATGATGATGATGATGATGATGATGGTGATGGTGATGGTGATGGTGATGGTGATGGTGATGATGAGGAGGAGGAGGAGGAGGAGGAGGAGGAGGAGGAGAAGGAGGAGGAGGAGGAGGAGGATGCGCAATTTGCGAGACTGGAGGGCCCCACAGCGTTCCCCTCTCGGCCCAGCGAGGACCCCGAGAGGCCGGAGACTATGAACAACTTCCGTTTTGATTTTTGATCGATGCGTTCGAGGTTTGGGTACTTTCGAACCGGGAGACCTGAAGGCACGTTCCATTCAGGGCTGCTCGCGATTCGATCACCCGTCCATTTTTACCGCTCTCGGCGGGCTCACAATGGCCTCGAAGCGCAGGCACCCGCGTTGGCGGGTTCGGGCAACGGAAACAATGCAGCAGGACGGGCCTGACACGGATCGGTGTATGTGCATAGCTACCTTTCTTCTATACTGTTCAATCTGCATGGGCTGACGCTGAGTGTACACGGAGGGCAGATAAGGTCAAGCCCTTCCGAGAACAGGATTGCGCTGGCTGGGTTTGGACGAGGTGCCCGCTCCAGCCTTGCAGCGGCCTGTTCCGCCACGTCCTCCTCTTGGCCCTGTGGTCCTGGTGTTCTCCTCGTCCTCCTCCTCCTTCTCCTCCTCCGTGCTTGTCGATATGTTATGTGAGGTCCCCCCGCTCCTCCTCGTTCCTTCTCGTCCTCTATCCCTCGCCCTCCCTCCTTCCCCCTCGCCCCCTCCCCTCATCCTCTTCCTCATCCTCCGCCACCCCGATCCCGCCGCTCCCTCCATCCGCGAGGCCAGGTCAGAGCGATGATGGACGCGAAGGCCGCGGGAGGGGGAGAGGGTGGGGGGGGGGGAACGGCCCGGCGCGCTCCTTCGCTGAGGGCGCCCAGTGCGTGGGCGCAGACAGCGGGGGGGCCCGCCTTAACCCGAAGAAACAGGATCAGCATGAGTATAAACTTTTGGAGGCCCGCGTGGAACTCGGTGCAATCTGTGCTCGTGCCGACCTCTCCTCAGCTGGCGCGAGGATCAGGAACAACCCTAGCATTGCCAGCGTAACCCTTCCGTTCTTCGTGCTTCAGGCTTTCCACACTTGGGATGTTCTCTGTTTTGGGTAGGGCCTTCTGCGAAGGGTATCGTGTTCTGGGCCCTCGGTCTTGTGGCCATGATCTGACTGTGCTAGTGGGGGTCAGTAAGGGCCCGTTGCCGACGGCTCGAAGGATCGACCTTATCGTCGTTCTGGTCCTCGTCGTCCTCCCTGTCACGCTCCTCCTCCTGCTCCTCCTCCCCCTACCCCTCCTCTCGCCCAGTGGTCTCCGTTCGGCAGTCGAGGCGGTACTGCGCTCTGTTCGTATGTGATCACCGCTTTCTCCTGCTCAGTCTGTTAGGCACCTCGTTCTTCGGCTACTCTCGCCTCCTCCCTTTCCCACCTCCACGTCCCTCCCTTGAGTGCTCAAGATCCTCTCCCTCCCATGTAGATGAGGCGGATGATGCTGGTGTTGATGGTCATGGTCATGGTGATGGTAATTGTAATGGTGATGGTGATGATGAGGATGAGGACGTTGATGATAGTGCATGTGAATGTGATAGTCGTGATGATGGTGGTGGTGATGGTGTTGACGCTGGTATTGATGATGCTGCTGATGATCATGTGGGTGATGGTCATGCTTTTAGGTTGATGGAATAGGTGATGTTGATGAGGATGGTGATGTTGACGCTGCTGCTGCTGCGGATTATGATGGTGATGACAACGACGACGACCACGACGACGACGACGACGACGACGATGATGATGATGATGATGATGATGGCACGGATGATGATGATGATGATGGTGATGATGGTGATGATGACGATGATGATGAGGATGAGGATGAGGATGAAGATGATGATGAGGATGATGATGCTGCTGCTGATGATGATTCTGATGATAATGATGATTCAGGTGATGCTGCTGCTGCTGCTGATGATGATGATGATGATGATGATGATGATGATGCATGTGATGGTGATGATGATGATGATGATGATGCTGATGACGACGATCATCAGGATGATGCCGCTGATGATGATAGTGATGATGGCCACGCTGATGATGAAGATTATGATGATGATGCTGATGATGATGATGCTGATGATGATGATGATGATGATGATGATGATGATGATGATGTCGGCGATGATGATGGTGATGATGATGATGATGATGATGGTGAAGGTGATGGTGATGGTGATAGTGGTGGTGGTGGTGATGGTGATGGTGGTGATGCTGCTGACGATGATAATGATGATGATGATGATGATGATGATGCTGATGATCATGCTGATGATGATGATGCTGATGCTGATGATGGTGCTGTTGATGCTTATGATGCAGATTATGATGATGATGATGATGATGATGATGCTGATGCTGATGCTGATGATGATGATGACGATGATGATGCTGATGATGATGCTGATGATGATGATGCTGATGATGATGATGCTGCTGCTGATGCTGATGATGATGCTGATGATGATGATGATGCTGCTGCTGATGATGATGATGATGATGATGCTGATGATGATGCTGCTGCTGATGCTGATGATGATGCTGATGATGATGATGCTGCTGCTGATGATGATGATGATGCTGATGATGATGCTGCTGCTGATGCTGATCATGATGCTGATGATGATGATGATGATGATGATGCTGCTGCTGCTGCTGCTGCTGATGATGATGATGATGATGATGATGATGATGATGATGATGATGATGATGATGATGATGATGACGGATGATGATGACATTGACGATGACGAGGATGCTGGTGAGGTTTGTGATTTCGCGGCTTTGATTTGCGCATTTCCGCCGCCGTTCGGGTGCTCTAGGCGCAAGGCAGGCACAGGTGCCAGATGTTCCCGCCGTGGCTGGGGCGGGTCCTGGATGTGGCCGGCGTTGGGGTAGTGAGCTACGTGGCGCGCTGCCCAGCCTTCCCAGCGCCCCCTGCCGCCGCTGGCTGCAACGTGCGCCTGGTGTGCCCGAGCATCCCTCCGTGCCCAGGGCTGCCTGCCGTGCTGGGAGGACCTCAGTGGCAGCAGGCCGCTCCGCCACCACCTGCTCCAGGGGGCTGCCCCCCTGCCGAGGCCTGCCCAGCGAGCGGGCGTGCGAGTGTGGCGGGGTAGGCTTCTTTGTCTTCGTCGTGGGCCTGATCGTCGGGGCTGTGGCTACGAGTGGGTTGACGCTTGCTGTGCGAGGAGGTTCTCGTGTCGTGTCCCGCCGTGGTGTACCCAGTCTGACGTTCGAGACGGGACACGATTGCGACCACCCAGTGGGTATACGTCTGGTACGCCGGCGAGAACAAGTGACACCAGCACTTGAACCTGGGCCGTGTAGGAGCGACCATGTCATCTACACTGCCGATGCCGACCTCTGCATCATCTCCCTGTCCGACACCCCGGACACCCAGGCCGCCAGGTTCGGGACTTTCGCGGTCCTTCCCATCGGCATCCACCGTGCCGACATCTACGCTTTCCGTGCTGAACCCGCCCAGGCGGAGGTTTGCCAGCTGGTGGGCGAGGCCGAGGAGGTGGCTGGTCAGGAGTGTCAGCGGAGGGCCGAGCTCATCGGGGACCCGCAGGTGCTGCGTGGGCTGGAATTGCTGGTGCCCCCGGGCGGCGCCGCGGCCGCTGGCCCAGCGGCACCGCCCCCAGGGCCCGCGGTGGGACTGCTGCGTGGGCGGGCTCCGCTGGCTGGGGCTGCGGCGGCGGCCGCGCGAGCGGCAGGCGCTGCGGACCCGACTGAGGGGACTTGGCGTGTGGCGGCCTGCCGTGGCGAGTTCCGCGCGGGGGATGAGGTAGTCGAGCACGTTCTGACCGCCTCGAGGGTTGCAGATCAGGACATCCACGTGCTGCCGTCGGGCGAGAGGCTCTTTTTCGAGTGCGTGACGGTGGCTTGCCTCCCGGGTTTCCTGCAGCGGGTGGTGGCCGCCGACGCCCGCATCCTCCCCGTCACCCGCAACAGGAGTGGGAGGAGGGAACTCACCTGGTCGGCCATGGTGGAGCGCACGCGCAGAAAAGAGTTCGATGATGCCGACTGGGACCTCCCAGGACCTCGCACGGCAGATTGGTGCATGGAGTACATCCCGAACGAAGGGTTGGGGATGGAGGGCCATCTTGAGCACTTTCACTCGATCTGCAAGTTGGCCGCGTCGGATTGGAGGGTGCAAGGGGCACTTCCAGCTGACGTTGCAGGTCAAGTAGGCCCTGTGTGTAGATATGCTCGACGGGACTAACCTAGTGTCGACCGAGACGAAGTTTCGGAGGACGCAGACCATCGAGTTCGCTCACTGGGACAAGGCCAAGGACCAGGAGAGCAAGGATATCGGGGGGAAATTGACGCTGGAGGAGCAGGCTGCGTTCTGAGTGCATGTGAACTAGAGTTTTTTTTTCAAATTGGGTCGGTCCGGCTGATCCGGTGATCCGGTGACCCGGTGATCCGGCCAGGTGACCCCGTGATCCGGTGATCCGGTGATCCGGTGAACCGGTGATCCGGTGATCCGGCCGGGTGACCCGGTGATCCGGTGATCCGGTGATCCGGTGATCCGGTGAACCGGTGATCCGGTGAACCGGTGATCCGGTGATCCGGCCGGGTGACCCGGTGACCCGGTGATCCGGTGATCCGGTGATCCGGCCGGCTGATCCGGTGATCCGGTGACCCGGTGATCCGGTGAACCGGTGATCCGGTGATCCGGCAGGGTGATCCGGCTGATCCGGCTGATCCGGCTGATCCGGCTGATCCGGTTGATCCGGTTGATCCGGCTGATCCGGCTGATCCGGTGGACTGGCCGAGTGATCCGGGTGATCCAGTTGATCCGGCTGAGCTGATCTGGCTGATCCAATTGATCCGGGTGATCCGGCTGATCCGGCTGATCTGTTGATCCGGCCGGGCTAACTATCCGTTGATCCGTTGATCCGTTGATCCAGCCGCTGATCCAGGGCGATCTGGCTGATCCGGTTGATCCGTGGATCCAGCCGCTGATCCGGAGCGATCCGGCTGATCCGGTTGATCCGTTGATCCAGCCTCTGACTATCCAGGTGATCCGGGGTGATCTGGCTGATCTGGAGGCTGATCTGGCTGATCCGGCTGATGCGGCTGACGTGGCTGATCCAATTGATCCGGTTGATCGGGCTGATCCGGGTGATCGGGCTGATCGGTCTGATCCGGCTGATCCGGGTGATCCGGCTGATCTGGCTGATCCCGTTGATCCGTGTGATTTGGTGGGTACCGTTCGGTTGATCGGTGTGATCTGGCTGATCTGGCTGATCTGGGTGAAGCGGGTGATCGGGATGACCCGGCTGATCCATATGTGTGGTCTCTGACGCGCATGGTGCACCCCGTGGTCTAGAGACTTCTGCTGGATTTTCCCAGTGGGCCGGAGGCTTCTGCTGACTCTGCCAACCCTGCGGGCCAGTTCCCACTTCACCCGTCGTGCCAGCGCCGTCCGACCCGCGAGAGGCTTCCAGTCCCCCCGTCTGACGCTCCAGGGGGGCCCCGCCAGACTGCGGCACGACTGGAGAAGCTGTTCCTTCTGATTGCTTCTGCTCACTCCTCCTCTTCTTCCTCCTCGTCCTCGTCGTCGTCGTCGTCGTCGTCGTCCTCCTCCTCCTCCTCCTCCTCATCCTCCTCCTCCTCCTCCTCCTCCCTTCTTCCTCACGCGTGGTCCCCACTCGATCGTCCTCTACCTTTCATATAGACTCCTCCTTGCTGCTCCTCCTGGTTGACAACGATGATGGTGGTGATGATGGTGGTCAGGACCATGACGACGATGATGGCGATG